GATTTTTTCAAACTAAATTCCACTAGCGTTCTGCTTTCGAACTGAAGACCTTCAAGACACTCAGAACAAAATGAGATAAGAAAAAAAAAGAAAGAAAGCAAATAGTAGTAACACAATGTATAGATGAAATAGCATTTATTTTTTCATGTGATGCATGACAAATAGAACGTTAGTTTTTAATACGACCTTTTCTTTTCCATTCATATTTTTTCTGTGATTGAGAACGATGCTTTACAACATAGTGATATAGGCGATCGGTCTGTCCGAACATATATTCTATCGATTATTTTGTATATCGTTCCCATATTCCTAAAATTATTTACTAAATTTTAACTAAAAATTTCTAATCTGAAATATTCTAATTCGATACTCAATAGTAAAAATTCAATGTTACTTCTGGATAAAGACTTTTTCTTTTTGAAAGAATCGCAACAAGAGTTTTTTTTCAACTTTGCAAAGTTGGCATCCTATACACGGTGGTCCGCTTGGCTAATGATTAGTGTTGGTTCACAGTTATTATAAAATTTCTGAAAACACAGCACAGATGGTCAGACGAAAGTGTAAAGATGGTTAACTTTCTGCCTTGATATCTGAAACGAAAGAAGAGACAACACTCTAATAATTTGCTATTCCTTTATTCCAGATAAATCAGTAACACCAGTGATCAGATAAACAACTAATGGCAAATCGTAAGCAAACATATAAAGTAGCTGATATCAGTTTAGCTGAATGGGGTCGAAAAGAAATAACACTGTCAGAGTATGAAATGCCTGGTCTTATGCAATTAAGACGAAAATATGGACCAACAAAACCGTTAAAAGGTGCGAGAATTGCCGGTTGTTTACACATGACTATTCAAACAGCTGTTCTTATCGAAACACTCAAAGAACTTGGTGCTGATGTGAGTTTTTTGTTGTCTTTTTCCAATTTGTTTTTGTCTAATTTATTGTCTTATTTTATTATTCTAATTTTAGGTTCAATGGAGTAGTTGCAATATATTTTCAACACAAGATCATGCCGCAGCTGCTATAGCTCAAGCTGGAATACCCGTTTATGCATGGAAAGGTGAAACTGATGAGGAATATCTATGGTGCATTGAACAGGTAAATACAATTGAAAACATTCTAATTGCTTCTTCTGACAGTTAATAGCGAGATCAAGAGTTATTCTATAAATAACGTTATTGTTATATATTGCATTTTGTTTCACAATTTCATAGGCTTGTATGTTCTGAATTTTGTTCATGGTTTTTCGTTGTTTTAGACTCTTTATTTTCCCGACGGTCAACCATTAAACATGATATTAGATGATGGTGGTGATTTAACAGCAATGATTCATGAAGAAAAATATTCCAAATTAGCGTCTGGAATTTTTGGCATATCGGAAGAAACAACAACAGGTGTTCATGCACTATTTAAAATGTTGAAAGCAAAAAAATTAAAAATACCAGCTATCAATGTTAATGATAGTGTAACAAAATCAAAGTTTGATAATTTGTATGGTTGTCGAGAATCATTAATTGATGGAATTAAACGTGCAACGGATATAATGATTGCCGGAAAAGTGGCTGTAGTAGCCGGATATGGAGATGTTGGCAAAGGATCAGCAAGAGCCTTAAGAAATTTTGGTGCAAGAGTTATCATTACAGAAATTGATCCAATTAACGCCTTACAAGCAGCAATGGAAGGTGAGTGAATGTCTGATTTCTGATACCTCAGAATAACTTCTACGTGAAGCACAATGTATTAACCGTTTAATGAAGAAGAATAAAAGGATATCTCCATGAATATATTAAAGACTTTAGAAACAATATCAATTAGTTAATTTGCATAACGTAAAGTCAGTTCATGGTAAATAGTAGACGGATATTCGTTCGCTATTTCAAAAGTTTGAGCAAACAATATGAAATGTCATAAATTTTATCTTTTAAGAATTTTTGTGATCTGTGAAAGACTTTAGTTGAAACAAGAATTTTGCTTTTTCAACATTTGAGCATGATTTCGATTGCGTTCGATTATGGCGAAACTTAAATTTTGACAGACAGTTATAAACCAACACAAATTTTTGGCAGCCAATAGATAAGAAAAACTTTCACAGGTAGCAATACATTTTTTAAGATAGAGAAACTTTTTGTACAGTTCTGTACTAAAGGTTTGAGAAAGGTTTTAAGTACCCTTCCTATTTAAATAATGAATAACTCTTTATTCAGACGTTTCGACAGACATCAGCCTGCCTTCTTCACTGCAGATTTTTAAAGGACAAAATGTCAACAAACTGGAATAACTGTAAATAGTCCTTTTTCTTTTCTTTCTAATACTGATACGAAGGAAGATGACGAATAGTTATCCTATCCAGTTTTATCGTCTTGTTTCCGTACCAGTATTAGAAAGAAAAGAAATGGACTATTTACAGTTATTTCAGTTTGTTGACATTTTGTCTTTTAAAAATCTGCACTGAAGAAGGCAGGCTGACGTGTGTCGAAACGTCTGAATAAAGTGTTATTCATTATTTAAATAGGAAGGGTACTTAAAACCTTTCTCAGCCCTTACAATGACCTTTCTTTTAAATGTCAATGAGTTCCGTACTTACAAAAACAGAATACAAAAGACATACCACTTCAATAATTGTATAAAATATAGACACAACAGTGAATTTAGTTTTGCAGTTTACTACAAAGCTAAGTTCATGTGTTCAAATCTCTATTCGTACAAAATTGATTTTGTGTTTTTCGATAGTTTTAGTTTAGAATACTATAATGAAATATTTTTTCGCTTTTATTCTAACAGAATAAAGCTTATATCAAATCGGAAATATTTAAACCGATTACTAACACAAGTAGGATTTCGAAAATTACTTACTTAAATTAATTAATACATAGCTTATCTGTTTATTTCTTGTTAAGGTTATGAAGTGATAACTATGGAGGAAGCATGTAAAATTGGTCGAATATTCGTTACAGCAACTGGTTGTCGTGATATTATTCTCGGTAAACATATGTTGGAAATGCCTGATAATGCAATCATTTGTAATATTGGTCATTTTGATATTGAAATTGATGTTGATTGGTTGAAGAAAAATGCTGTTAGCAAAGAAACAGTCAAACCACAAGTACGTCAACATTTTATTAAATATCATAATTTTATAGAAATTTCTTTATATAAAAATTGTTGTATTAGACGGCAATTGGCAACTATTTTATTGAGGATTTTGAAAAGTCTGTAATACAATCGGACTTCAGTCTTTAATCTGATCAGACATCGGTTTTGTTTATGTTTGACGTTGTTTCTTTTTACTGTTTAGGTTGATCGTTTTGTATTATCAAATAATCGTTCAGTTATTTTATTAGCTGAAGGACGTTTGGTTAATCTGGGTACGTATAAAAAAAGTTTGTTGACTGATAAAATAATAAAAAAATTTTAATTTTTTTTTGTCTTGAAGGTTGTGCTCACGGTCATCCCAGTTTTGTTATGAGTAATTCATTCACAAATCAAGTATTAGCTCAAATTGAATTATATACAAAACATGATAAATATCCACTTGGTGTCTACACATTACCTAAATCGGTATGACTTACTATATTTGACACACGACCCATGTTTTTTCTACTGATACACTCAGTTTCTGTGGTTGTTTTTGGATTTTTCTCGAAAATCAACTTATAATCACGAGTAAAAAGTGCAATACGAAGAATACCTGCTTGGATACAAACTTTGGATCTTTTCGCCTAATCAAAAAATTGAGTTTTTATGCTACGTAACTGTCTATCTGTCAGGCGAGAGAGAGAGAGAGATAGTGTTTGAAATCTAATCCAACAGAAAATATATGATTTTCTTCACACGTATGCCACATACACATAAGTAAAAATATATTTTCTATTTTTTATTTTTCTATTTTAGTTGGATGAAGAAGTGGCTGCTGCTCATTTAGATCATTTAGGTGTGAAATTAACAAAAATGTCAAAAGAACAAGCAAATTATTTGGATTTGAATGAATCTGGACCATTTAAACCAGATCACTACCGTTATTAATTTCAAGCTGTTATGTTGTTGTTCTTTTTGATAGTTGTTCCATTGTGATAGAAATAAAATATGTTATTCGGATTGTTCCATTTTGTCCGGTTTTTATTTTTATTTATTTATGACTGTTTAAAAAGAAAAATGATCAGTATGTGGTAACATCTTATCAAAATCTTGTTATTGTTGTTTTTTTCAAAATATAAATAAACATTTATTTATTTATTAATACTATATATCGTCTGATATTGAGCAACACATACTAATTTACATCTAGAATCTTGACACGTTCTATGGGACCGTTATAAATTGCTTCATTTTTCATCGGCTCTAAAACCAAAAATGTTAGTAATATTGTTCATTAGTAGAGAGCTAAATATATACAGGTAGAATGTTTTTTTATATCTGAGATCACTGATATTTACTAAACTACAATTCTGTATCATTGTTATCAGTTTAAATCTATTATTTATTATGGTATTACCCATTTCATATTTTTATAGATTTGCAGTTTTAGAGTGACAAAAACGAATAAGAATGAACTTTCACTATTGTGTAGTTGGAAAAGCTGGTGAACCACTGGCATCTGCTGGAAATAAATCTTATGAACAACGTGTACTACAATTATTACCGAAAGTAAATATAAATAAAGTAAGAGTAGATTATGAGGATGATAGGTAAGTGTTTTTTTGTTCGAACCGTATCGTCTGCTATGTTACACTATGTTTAATTTTAGAGTCGTACATCATGCTCTTAATGACGCAGGGTACTCGATCATTTGCACAACAAGTCCAAGTGTTGATAAATTACGAGTGTATACATTATTGCAACAGGTTTGAAGCATTTATCTTTTTGTTAAATCTAGTGAAAGAAAACTATTTATTTTAAACTTTTATGCTGCTTTTTGTTTTTAATTTAGATTAAAGAGCAATTACCATTATTTTCTGAAACTCAGTTAGCTTCAGCATGGACGTTACAAACAAAAATGGGACCAATAATGAAAAGTTTGCTCGTAAGATATTTTTCATTATGTTTTGATAGATGATGGATGTTCTGTTCACATTGTTCTATAGATGTTTGTGTTTTGAAGGATGATTATGAAGCAGGTCGTGAAACAGATGGATTATCTGTGCTTGAACATGAAGTAAACGAAACGGAGTCAATTATGGTTGACAATGCAAAGAAGGCTATTGAACGGGGAGGCAATCTACAAGATTTAATGGGTGAGGCTGAGCAGTTAGAGGCCACGGTATGTAAACTGATACGTTCGAGTATCGTATTTACATTGTCATTTTAGTTCCTTTTTGTAAAACTAATTAATCATTTGATGTTAACAGTATCGGTCTGTTCAATAGAAAAAATATTTTACATCTGAACAGATATGAACTGTAGGAGACACATCATTAATATTTCACCTCTTCCTGTGTTTGTTTATGTTTGCACTGCTCACGTAATTTTGGAGACAAATGATATATGTGATTATTGTTAGTCACAGTTGATGCATTTTGACTTTCGCCTGAATAAAACAAGTTAACGTGTTACACTGTTTAATAATTCTGACCTTATATTTCAGTTTGCACAAAACTTGTGATGTATATCTTTACATATTTTGATTACAGTACCTCGTATCAAGTACCCCGTAACAAAAAAAATCTTGAAAATCCTAACAAGGGTCACGAAATACATTCCTGAAAGGAATTTCAGAGCAAACTTCTTTTTACGACTCTTGGAGACGAAAGATGCTTGCATACCAGTTTGAACGATTTATTCTTCATATATGCAGAAAGCGTACATACACACACGCACACACATTGGAACCCGTATATGTGAAGATTCAACTTGTTTCTCGACAAGAAACAATTGATCATTTGTCTTTATATGTAGCGCAGAAATCCGCAAAACAAATTAGCGGTTACATTGTCAATGAATCATAATAAATCAGTCCAAAATTCTCTGATAAAAAAGTAATCATAGAAGAGAAAAATAAGATGTAGAAAGAATGAAGAACATCTGATTTTATTAGCTCCTAACTCAATCTGTCTAGCTTAAGGAGGAATCTAACTTTTCTTTTCAAATGAGCGCTTTACAAGTTCGTGTTAGCTGTTGTCAAAGGTTTTTTCCAACATATGGTAATATTCAATGTTTGATTAAGATACTTGAGCATATACCTGTAAGTTTAAACACAAACAAAAAACATAGTAAATTATTACTTTTTCAATCTTTCAGTTTTTTTTAGTCAATTTTATTTTTTATTTTGACTGAGCTGCCAATATTCGAAAAAAGAACATCTGGAACTTTTCCATTATATCTTTAGTTTTTCATATATTTTAATAATAAAGAAAAGGTTAGTTAGTTGACTAAGAGTACGCCCTATCAAGAAGAAACTGTGTTCTACGCACATTTATAGCCAGGAAGAGTACAAAAATCACTAACAGAAACCGTTTTCTGTTTCATAAATTTTTTTTTGTTCTTTCAGCATCTTTGATGCTCAAGCGGGAATTGCTCTATAGCAACACAATTTAAGTCGTAAAAAATATGTTTTAGACGACCAAAAATCCTTTTTAGAAAAATTTAATCTTTGTGATGAATCGTATGAAGTGAAACTTTTTCGAATGAATTTTTTTTTCTTTAAAAAAACTTTTAATGCACACGGTTCAATACAGCTTGACAAGCTGTTTTCAAATATGCGATATTACTTTTATGAAAAAATTGATCTGAAACTGAGAAAACAAAGATTTTGAAGAATTCACAGTAAGATTCAAGAAAGATGACGCTAATATTGTAGATGTATGATGACCAGGAGAAAATTTAGACATTTCAGCTTAATTGAACGTGTAGAAAACTGTGGAAACTCATTTTCGCACACATTTTGCTTCGAAAATCTTTTTTCTTTTTAAATTATCAGTTGAACACGATAATTGTTCCGTTAGTGAATAGTTCAAAGTATCATGTTTATTACTGATCTCATTTTTCGTTTAAATATCTAATCAAGTTGCTTAGAAAAATATTTTTCTCTGTACATCATGATATATTTACCTTTACAATTTCCCAATAAAAATTGAAAAACGTAAACTTGAACTTTTTAACTAAATGTCTGTGGCTACCCTAGTGAAGATACTCAGCTCTAAGTAGTCAAAGTCGTTCTCTGCTGAAAAAAATGCAGCGAATACTCATGAAATACTCAGATGGGCACTGATGTGAGACTATTGCAAATTTTCTCATTGAGTACTCATGTACAAATGTTTGAGCAAGTTGTACTCATGTTATGAGAACTATCACTAGGGTAGGATACCTCACTCTGATTACGGCTCTGCTTTCATACTGTATGTTGAATCTCAAGACAACTCTGTGTACAACAACAGCTTAAGGGTATCCTCCTCTTATTAGAAAAGATTTTCATTATTAGGTTAAATATCGTTCATTGTAGAATGAAGTGTACCATTTCCAACTCTCTCGATCAACTTCCGTTGAAGAGATCCGAACTTTTTAAAGTTTATCGTACCACTCTCCCTCAGAGAAACTCAGATTTTTACTTTCAAAAACTTCTGTTTCATTTGGTACTTGAACATTTTTTCAAATAGTTAGTCTTGTGCAACAAGAATTGAGGAAACAACATTTGTAATACAATATGTTCTTCATCAAAAGATGATTCGCCTCAATCTAATAATATTATATTTTCCTTAAAACTTTACCCAATCGATCTCAAAATTTGACTTCTGGCACAAACAAAAAGATACGCGAATGAATTTGCAATAAGTCCTGAGAAAAGAAGGCTTAGTCATTATTAGTTTATATTGGATAGTACTGCTACGAAAAGTTCCAAACGGGAGAAGAAGAGGTATCCTTAAGATGAATGTCACATGTGTTCATTTTTTTTCAAATTTTCACTACTTTGATCATCAACTCAGATTTTCAGTTAACTTGGAAATCAAATTTTAATCCATCAATTACATTTGTTGTTTTCGATTTCTTTTAAACAAATGATAAAAACTGCGGATGTACGTATCATCGTTCGATGAGATTCTCTACTATTCATTGAGAAAATATATGAAGCAATGAAGCCTTGATTAATTTGCGCATTTGCCTTTTTAGTTATATACATTTAACTTTGCGGCTACTGCCCACGTTAGGCTTTAGGTTTTTCAAAAATATTTTTTATCGGAGAACTGATATGAGGCCATCATGCGATGCAGTTTTTCGCGCTGATTACGAATATGGCCTTTCTAAAAAATAAAAATAAAAATTTGAATGAAAAAATTTAATTTTAACATTTTTAAAAACTTCCATTTTAAATTGCTCACTTAGTCAGTTTCTTGAAAAAACTGAAAAATATACCATTCGATAATGAATTAAATTCTCTGCAAAATGACATATTATTTTTTTTGAAGTTCTGACATCAAGAACGGATTTTATAGGTTTTTAAGTGGTTTTTAAGTTTTAAAATGTAGAGTCAAATTTAAAAGTTTAGTATAATTTTTTCAATTTTATTTTAAGATGGGTTGATAGCCCATGCCTAGGACTCAGCTGGATATAAAAATCAAGTTCTTTTTAGGACCTCACGTGTCTCAAAACTCTGTAAGAAAAACCTGTGTCACAGCGTTACTTTACAAATCGACTTTTCTAAGCATGCGGAAGGGTCTGGAAAAAAGTTTGTTATACTAAAAGAAAGCTTGTTAACTCCTCTACAACCTTGCCTCTAGAAATTTTTCAGATACACAGCTCAGTTCGCAGAAAATCAGAGCTGTATCAGAAGTTCTCAAAAAATAGGGACCTTTTCTGTCATAGCATTACGCGCTGAAAAATCTTTCTGAAAGCTCGAGTCTTGAGCCGAAAATCTCCATTTTTATATTGTAAATAGAGTTTGGTGAGCTGCCTCGAATGACACCAGAACGAACTTTCTAGTTTCTACATTTTTCGAGAAAAATGCAAATTACTGTGTCAACAATGGCACAGCGTTACCTATGGACAAGCCGTTTAGCACGCACGATCTTATAGTGGCTTATATATTCATCAGTCTAGCAAAAAATTTACTTTAACAGAATGTATTTTCAAAATATATTTAATTCGGTATTTATTTAATAATTACTGTTTATAATCATATTTTAAGTAATTTATGTATTATTCAACATAATACGGGTTCTGAACGTAGATGATATTGGGAGATCTTGCATATGTATATCTCAACGTTGTACAGATATGGACATGTCACGGTTCGAACTGGAATCCCCATGGACTTAGACTTAATTTGGACTCAAGGATTTTTTTTTAATAATCTGTTTAAAATACAGGTATATATTCAAGGTAAAAGAATAAAAAGGTATCCAGGTGTTATATGCAAGAACGAAATCTTATACGTATTTAAGAATGTTTTATTCTATGGTGACTTTGTTATGAGATCACATGGAGAGTTAAAATGTCAAACGGTACATTTTCACATTTAACATTGCTAAAATAAAAATTTAGGTTTAATTTTTGGAATATATTTGTTTTCCATTTTGCTGTTTTTGTTCTTTCACATTAATATGCGATGCTTCAACTGTTTTAATAATTAAGCAGACAGTATTGTTATCTGAGAAAAAAAACTTTTCAATTACACTTCTACTTGACTTGGGACTTGGAAATAGCCGGTCTTACCCATCTCTGATGTTTAATTTACACTTGAGAACATTATTATTTTGAAATTTGTATAACAGATAGATACAGTTAATAATCACTTCTACTTTTCTGGATGTTTTTAAAAATTACTTTTTCATGTTCTACATGAATGAATAAAATGGCACACACGATTAAAATTTTGTTATTTTATTGTTATTATTATTTAGGCATTTATTTACCAGAACACAACAAAAGAAGTGAAACGAAAATATTGGAGAAAAAATATTAAATTATGGATGATTTTTGGCATTATTATTGGCATTTGTTTTCTTATATTCATATCTGTTATCACAAGTCGAAAGTCAAAACGAAGAAAATTAGCAGCAGCAGCAGCACAAATGCGAACAATCTCCCCCACGTTAATCTTAGTTGATACGACAAATTCAACTGTGAATTCTACATCCACAACAATATCATCATTGATATTAAACATTTTGACAAGTGAATCTACTGGAGGAATGTGATATAAAATTGCTCAATTATGCAGAGAAAGATCTTATAACAAACATTACATCCAGTCAGATTTTTTTACCATTTCTTCTATTCACGTTTAGACATATTTTTATTTAAAATTTATGTAAATGTAAAGTCAAGAAACAAGCTTTAAACCTCTAAAAATAATATGTTGATCTAGAAATTAAGAAATTTTGTTTTATTTATTACTGTCTTTATAAATAGTTTATTTTAATTTGTAATTTCATCCAATGCTTCAATCTCGGTTTATTGTGCTCGCATGTTTTTTCTCTTTCAAAACGTGTCATTTTTTCATTGTAGTATAGAGCATGAAAACAATTTTAATTGAAATATTCATTATGTATATCATAGTCTTCTATTTTTATATTTTCCTTGCTTTTTTCAACAAAAACCAAAAAAAAAAAATGAAAATGTAATTTGAAGTCTTCTTTTAATAAACGTTTTCTTTTTTCTTTTTATCGTCGTCGAATTTTTTATGACAAATAAACATAGACAAAGTGCATTTTTTTTTTTCACTGAAGAATTAATTACACATCAAACTTCAAGCATTATTATTTCTATACGGTCTAATGTGTGAATAATATTCATACATTCTGTGTGTTAGAATTAAATATTAGAATTTTTAAATACTTAAATAAAAACTTGAGTTGATGACAAATGAAGAAAGAAATTTAAATAAATTTATGTATTCACTGTTTTATCATATAAGACTCAGCAGTGTCACTATTCAAAAAGGAAAAAAATTTTTAATATTCATTTAAAGCGATTAGAAAACTAAATTTTATAAGTTAAAGTGCATAATTCAATTTTTATTGTCAAACATCTATTTTTATCATCTCTTTTATTTGAAAAGAATTTTCGTTACTTACCTGTTAACGTTTCTACAACTTTTCTCTTTATTTCTTTTTATACGATATTTCTCAAGAAAAAAGCCCGGAAAGAAGTCAAATTTGCTCATTTATTCATTTGACATCACTATGGTCTACTAATGTTTCGTTTTCCATTTTCATAAAGAATATTATTCACCTATGAATGTCTATTTTCACTTTTTTCATTTTTTTTTCAGATTATTCTGTTTATTTTTTTCTTTCTGTGATTCACCGGTGATTCTGTTTATTTTTCTCTTAATACTGTGTTATTTGAATGATGCGACCACGTATTTTGTGAATTTTTTTTTTTTTATAAAAAGAAATATGGATGTTAATGGTGATCATACAATGGTAAGTTATGAACTTCAATATCAGAGGTTATCACATTGAACTTTTCTGAATGTGTTCGACAGTTGATTATGATATCATATTAAGGGTGTATCCATGTGAGTGCTCGTCACACACGATTATTAAACATTAGAATAGTTTGTATGTACGGAAGCTCTTGCCACTCTTGTTTTCTTCTTTTTATTTCGAATTGTATTCTGTTTGCATTTCTTTTTTGCATCTCTCCTTACATAGAGAATATCTTCGTCGTAGAAAAATAGATAGGGTTATAAAAATGATAAAACTGTTTTTTCTGCATCATTTGTTTGTTTTCACAGCAAAAATTCATTTTACTTCGATTTCAAGCTTTTTTAATGAAAAAATTAATGATTGAAATGCTGGCACTATTCAAAATTGGCAGATGAATTTGATGGTTTTCAAAACTGCTGGTACTGGTATCTTAATCGTTAACCCTCCCCCTCTTTTCCAAAAAAACTTTCAATTTGAGTTGAACATAGTCTAATTTAGAGGAAAGTGTGGGGTACAAAATAAGATCACTCCCACTCTTTCATGACCGTTTTGTACAAAAACTTGAATGAATTTTGTTAGTTATCTCATTATTAGTCTGATAGTGCAAAACGTTCTCTTCACAATGAGAAATTTCAAATGGCTCTTCATGAAGATAAAAGCATTGCCACAAATGTTCTGAAAAAGTAACCTGTCGAAATGTTACCTATTATCCTTTGGAGAACACAGAATCGTCGCAAATGTTTTAAATAACTCCTGGACGAAGATAGATACAGACTTGCGGTTTTGGGTATTCGAAATAGGAGACTTGGAGAGATCTTTTCATAAGCAAAGCGCTCTTCAAAGTCTGTTTTCCAATAAGGTTTTCTAGGAAATCTTTGGAAAACCGACTCACAGCCAAAAAAGTTGAAATATAAATCTGTTCATTCTTCTCCATAGAGAGATAATACATAGTGTCCTCGTTTAAACAGAAGTCCTTTGACTTCTGCATTTTTCACCGTTTAGGTATGGTATCGGATTTTCTAGGAGCCCCGGGATCAGTTTTCAGTAGCTTTTGGAAGTATCAGAAATGGATGAAACATAGATTATCGATTATGTTGACTCTCGTAGCAATCTTTGTTTCCAGAAAAAAGTTAAAAAACCCACTGAACATATGTGCTAGATGATACAACACATTTTTGGCTATTTTCACAAAAAGATAAAAAATTTATAATTCAGTCAAAATTGTTCAAAACTACTTTAAAACGTAAACATACACTCTATTTTATCTCCTCAGCCTGATTCTATATTTAAAATTAGTAAAAAATATTCGTTTACTTCTAAAGATTTTCAGAAATCCTTTTCAATACCTGAGTGCTTTTTATTTGTTTTAAAAATTTTATTTAACTCATGTTATAGTTCAGATAAAATCCATGTTTCATCCATTTTTGATGTTTCCAAAAGTCATTGGAAACCGATTCTGGGACTCCTAGCGAATATGATGCCACGCCTAAACGACGAAAAATGAAGCAGTCGGGGAGCTCCTATTTAAAAGACGACAGAGGATAAAGATGTCTTAGAAAATCTTATTGGAAAGCGGACTTTGAAGCTTGCTTTGCTCATGAAAAGATGTCTCCAAGTCTCTTAGTCTTAGTCTATTTCGAATACCGAAAACCGCAAGTCTGTATCTATCTTCGTTCGAAAGTTATTTAAAAAGTTGGTGATGATACCGTGTTCTGGAAAAAAGATAATATAATGCTCAAAATACTGGTGGTTCTAATCAAGATATATTTCGCTCCCTGCCCTAAAACCTCATCCAATTGGAACAAAAATTTTATCACAAATATCGAGAACAAGATGTCAGATTGGTAATTTGATTTTCATTTTTGATTTTTTCCTTCTAGAATTCACGATGAACAGTAAAAAATATATCTAAAATCTCTTTTTTGTAAAAACATCCAAGAATTTGTCCGTTTTCCGAAGGAAATGGAAGGAAGTGTGAAGTTTATTTTAAAGAGGTTTTTCGCTTATTTCTGCCACAAAAGTTTCGGGAGGTGTAAACAGCCTGTCGAACGTTTGGCCTCACGAAATTTAAGGTTAATTTTAGTGTTTACAGCTACTGAAATGGTGTTGTGAATATTCCATGTATTGTTTGTATTTATTAAAAACATTATTTGTAGCCAATGTCAATGTTGATTAAGGCGGTCACTTATATACCATTGTCAAAGGAACTAAAACCAGTGAGAACTACGAATTTATGTCATTTTGTATCAAAAATACAAAAAAAAAATAATATTCCGTTTTTGGCGCATACTGTTAAATGATATCTGCTTGGAAAGTACTTAGACTATAATGATCATTTCCTATACAAAATTTTGTTGATGAGTCGCTGCTATTTCTGTTTGTCTTAGCCAAATTCTCTGTAAACTAGCGTCACAGTATGACTCAGTGATTTGCGAATAGTTTTACCTATCTGAAATGATAATGTATGTTTAACCAATCTTAGGGAAGTTTTGACATTTTTTGCTGCTATGCAAAGAAGCAACGCTGACAAGGCAAAAAGCAACGCTTTTTTGAGAGGTTTCTGATGTTTTAACTCAGGAAATCAGTTTATGCAAGACAAAATGTGTCAAAATATTGCCGGTATTATAGAGTCTTGTTGACTCCAAGTTTAACGTGTTCAGACAAATAGTCAAAGTTCTGAAAGGATTTTTTGATCATCCGTATTGATGGACGTTAGAATTTTCAGATTTAATGTGTCATTCAGTGCCAGATGAATTAATCTTGTAAGAGGTATTCTTATGGCAGGGTAGCTCAATAAAAAAAGTGTAGTTTTCGAAAAACCTCGGAACACAGTGAAAAGATTTTAGATCTTACAAAGTTTCAAAAGTTTTTTTAACAAATTTAGAAGGTGCAAGTAAAATTATCGTACGAAAATAAACTCCAGCATTGTTCAATCCATGTGTGAGATAGACGGTCGAGTATGGTTGTTGTTCAGTTTTGATTAAATCCCAAAAGTTTGAACAAGAAAGACCGAATAATTAAAAACAAGTGATTTTTACGTGATAGGAAAGTCCTTCCAGAAAAGTTGACCCTGAGACATGTAAATTTATATGTCTATTACATTATCTATTTAGATCCATATCACCAGTAATATTTTACGCGACAAATTTTGTCCTCTGATATCACAATTTACCTTGAAATTATTTTATTGTGTATAATGTAGAAGAAAGTACTGTTTATTCAGTTATTGGTGATATGATCAAATTCTGATAAGAACAGTAACGATCACTCAAGGTTCAATCTTTTTTCTTTTCTTTTTTAACGACTTCATAGAGATGCGTGTGTCTGTGTGAGTATGTTGTATTGTGTGTAAACGTTAAGAGACTGTTCTGAAGAGTAAAATGATACAGGTAAAATATGTGTAACTAAAAAATTTTGTATTTTATTTTTTAATAATCATTATAATAGTTTTAAAATTGTTTAAATTCTTATGTTGATAATTGGATTTACGTAAATATTTGTATTCATTATCTTTTCTTTCCTACTTGTGAAAAACAGACGTTCTCATTCTGATCCTTCGTGACAAAATATGTAACGATATGCATAAGTTCATATATTTGAATCTCTATTCGTCGCACAGATGTCGATAATTAGACAATATCTCGATTTTTTATATCTAAATACTTTTATAATTATGAGATTCTATTAAACTTTATCGTTTGATCTTTGTAACGTTATTGAAGAATCAATCTGTTGTCATGTATAATGGTGATTCGTGTTATTAG